TCTTTATAATTGAATGTAATTTTAAAAATCGGTATATTATTTTCTTATAGCCGGTTTACAAGCCACTTTATAATTAAGATAACTAATTATTTAAATTTTTGTGGTCTATTAGGTGAGAAAACAAAACTCTACATCACTAATCATCATATAATACATCATATTAACCTAATTCACATTGCCTTTAAATACTTATTTTACAGGAATTAATTTCTTTTACATTTTTATAGAACATAAAGATAAGTATATCGGTAAAATAGTTATAAATTTACACTAAACAAATTTTCACTAGCATATTGCAAATTAGTAAATTTACTAAGAAACTTGTATACTAATATGAAGCGGCGCTCCGGAACCCAACGGATCCCGTTTTCCTAGTTTATTAAAAGTTTTTATACCTATAACACAGTTGATTCCACAAGATTCCGAATTGGATATACAGAAGATTGAGTATGAAAAGAATTTTATAATAATTTGCATTGAAATCTGTGTATTCTACTATAATTTAATTTGCTTTAAATTTGCCATAGTTATGATAAAAATGTTGATATTCGAATGGTACCTTTAGTAGATTTTACAACAAACAAAATTATATCGGATATAGGAGAAAGAAAATTTACAAGTTTTATAAAGAATTTAATTTCTCCGAGTCAATATTCGTCTCTTAAAGAAGAGGATTATAGTCCTTTTATTAAGATAATAATGAAAGGTGAACGAGATATTATATATGAAAACCCATCAATAGAAGCTGTCATGAATTGGACGTGGTATTGCTCTAATTCTATTGGCCTAGAACCTTGTGTATTTTTGGCTTATACTTTTTAACCTATTCAATTATTTCTTGGGCATACCTTTCCCATATACAAATATCTGAAACATATCAGCATATTCTGTTAATTACAACAATAATATTATATTATTGTTTATCATATTATCACATTGTGGTTGAAATTAAATAGTTCTATCGTAAAGGAAGGCAATATTATTTAGATCTTTTTAATCTGGTAGATCTTCTATCACTTATTATACCGATATTTATTCTTAGTTATATTTTAATTTGTTATTATACATTTGATGACGGGTTTAAAAATGCTGAAAGCAGTCAAGTCTTGACATTCATTATGTTCTTAAGTATTTTAGTTCTTTGGTACGAATTCGTAAGTATATACTTATCAAATCCTGCATAATTACCAAAGTCTTTTATCTAAGTTTCATACCATTTACTTTACATACTTTGTCAGATTTTATTATTACATATATAGAAGGTACAGTATTGCTAATAATTTATCTTAATATATAATTATCTTAACTTACAATTATGATTATTATACTTTAATCTAGGTTTTGCGCAAAACCTTAATATACTCTTAAATATTATTATTTCAATACGACAATTTTTATTGTTCTTTATCCTAGCTGTTATTGCAATGGTAATAATTATTATCTTTAGATTAAATAAAATGACCATCTTTAATTGTTATTTTATATTAAACATAATATTTAAACTTAATTATCATTGCTAAATTATTAGGGACATGCATTGTGAGTTTTATATGTTCATATACATTATGATTTTTTAAAATATAACATTAATCGTATATATCTAGATTTACTCTTCTTAGCCATCCACCTTACATTGGGTTAAATCAATCTTTAAACAACATATGATCCATTTTCGAATCTTTTTGCTTCTGTATTTGCAGTATCAATTTCATTTGATAGTTGGAGTTTTTGGCCACTTACTATAATTAGTATAGTTGGCGGTTTTATGTTTGCGATGATATTACAAAATGTAATCATTTCATTCATGAGGTAAGCTCTTAATCTTTAAATTTTTAATATAATTTTGTTTTTTTATTGACCTTCGATTCTTTAAAAAAAAAAGCGATGCCTTTTCAGGTGCAGTCACAGATAGTAAACGTGGCGTATATCGTTTTCAAATTGACTATATTCATGAATTTGCTCTTCTTGAAAAATCATTAGAATTTAATAATTTAGATTCTAAGTTTAAAGATAAAATAAGAGCAAAATACATTTGTTTTCAATATGATCCATGAATTACAAATTCTTGGAAAGAAATATCTGAAAAAATGAAATCAAAACCATATCCTAAAATCAAGGTATTAAATAAGAGTGTGTTCGAATATTGGTCAATTGAATATTACAAGTTTATATGGAAAAGGATGAAAAAGATGTTGAATATTGGTTCCTTTAGGATTGAAGAAAAACTGCAACAATTTGTAACAATTATTTAATTAATGCTTTTGTTGGCTAATTATTTTTTCAATATATATGTATACTGTATATATAAAAGAGTAAAATAGAATTAAATTGTGTAGTAAATATTATAATGATCAAGAACTTGATTGAAATACTAATGATCATAAATACTGTAAAATGAATTTAAGGCCATATAAAGTTGATTTTTTATTTTGTTTTATATAATATTCCAAAGGTGCGGTTATTTTATTGAATTTTTTTTATTAATTAAATTAAATCTAATAAAATAGTAGATTGAGAACATTATACTGTTTATATAAAAAACAGATTTGGATCTGAATTTTAAATACTGCTCAATAAATAAATATATTAAATTATTTATTTCTTCGAGTGGATTTATTTTCACAAGTTATGAAATTTGATTCTATTTAAGTAATCTATTGAAGTTTATAGATGTTTACTATTTTTAGTAAATTAAATTTTTTTTGTAAAGTTAGTGGACACGCAAATTAATTTTTCATTTGCATAACATGAGAATCAGAAACTTTGGAAATTTTTTTTATAATAATCCTATTGTGTAATTTTACAAATTTAAAATACAAGTTTATAGAAAAAACTGGAATTATTGAAACAATTAGATCCTAAAAAGTTTTTTTTTTATTACAAGTACTGTTAACAGATTTTGTAAAATGACAATTAACTTTGTGTGGTTTAAGCTATTTCAAATTCTGATAATTTAATATAATAACAAGTTTTAGAATGTTTACTGCAGTATTATATTCTTGTAAATTTACATAGTATACGTGTTTGCCATGGCCAGAGTTAATTTAGGCGGAAATTTAAGATCATACCCCTGCCATTACTGTATTATGTGTAAATACGGATATCTCTACTTTTGAATATTCTAAAATATATTTAATCAGTATAAATATTGGTTAAATAACTATTACAAAATGTTGCATCCTCTTCAATCTTCAAGGAACCAATATTCATTATCTTTTTCTTCTTTTCCCCAAATAAATTCACAATCTTTATTCGACCAAGATTCAAATTCTCTTTTACTAAATACTTGAACGACATTACGATATGGTTTTGATTTCATTTGTTCTGATAATTCTTTCCAAGAACCTGTAATTTTTGGATCATCATAAAAACAAATATATTTTGCTCTTATTTTATCTTTAAACTTGGAATCTAAATTATTAAATTCTAAGGATTTTTCAAGAAGAGCAAATTCATAAATATAGTCAATTTGAAAACGATATACACCACGTTTACCATCTGTGAGTGCACCTGAAAAAGCATCACTTTTTTAAAAGAGTTAGAAGTTAGTAAGATATAATAATAGCAAATTACAAAATTAAGAACTTACCCCATGAATGAAATGATTACATTCTGTAATATCATCACAAAAATAAACCTACCAAATATACTAATTATAGTAAGTGGCCAAAAGCTCCAAATATCAAATGAAATTGATGACCAATCATACACTGCAAGTATGGCATCAATAATATTAGAAAATGGATTATATGTTGTTGAAGATTCATTTAACCCAATGTATGAGAAGAATAAATCTAAATTAAATATAAATGAAATAATTAATGTATATATTTTAATATGTATTCTAAAGTTAGTAAATATATTATAGATAAATAACAAACTCACAATGCATGTCCCTAATAATTTAGCAATGATAATTAAATTTAAATATTATGGTTAAAATGAAATAACAATTAAAGATGTTCATTATATTTAACCTAAATTATTACCATTGCAATAACAACTAGGATAAAAAATAATAAAAATTGTCGTATTGAAATAATAATATTTATGAGTATATTAAGGTTATGCGCAAAATCTAGATTAAAGTATTATAATTGTAAATGTAAGTCTAGACAATCATTTATTAAAGTGAATTATTAGCAATACTGCACCTTCGAATATACGTAATAATAAAATCTGACAGAGTACATAAAACGGATGGTATAAAATTTAGAAAAAATAACATTGTAAATTTACAGGATTGGATAAGAATATACTTACAAATTCGTACCAAAGAATCAAAATGCTTAAGAATATAATAAATGTCAAGTTTTGACTACTTTCAGCATTTTTAAATCCGTCATCAAATGTATAATAACGAATTAAAATATAACTAAAGATAAATATCGGTATGATAAGTGATAGAAGATCTACCAAATTAAAAAGGTCTAAATAATATAGCTTTCCTTTACGATTGAATTGTTTAATTTCAACCATAATGTGATAATATGATAAATAATAAAATAATATAATTGCTGTAATTATCAGAATATGCTGATATGTTTCAGATATTTGTATATGGGAAAGGTATGCCCAAGAAATAATTGAATAGGTTAAAAAGTACAAGGCAAAAATACACAAGGTTCTAGGCCAATAAAACTTAGAGCAATACCACATCCAATTCATGACAGCTCCTATTGATGGGTTTTCATATATAATATCTCGTTCACCTTTTATTATTATCTTAATAAAAGGGCTATAATCCTCTTCTTTAAGAGACGAATATTGATTAGGAAAGATTAAAGTCTTCAGAAGATTTGTAAAGTTTCTTTCTCTTACATCCGATATTTTCTTGTTTGTTGTAAAATCTGTTAAAGGGACCATTCGAATATTAACAATTTTATCATAACTGTAGCAAATTTAAAGTAAAATTGAATTAATTATTGTAGAATATGTCAATTGATTTTTAGAAAATCATTTTCATACTCGATCTCGTGCAGATACAACTCTGAATCTTGTGGAATCAACTGTGTTATGGGTACAAAAACTTCTAATAAGTCATTTGACTTTGGAGAAATTTTGAGAAATTTAAAAGAAACCAAATCCAATTGCTTATTACAAAAACAGGAATTATAAAATAATTTTTGAGCATAATAGTTGTAAGATTCTACAGTATGAAAGCCCATATAATTATTCGTTAATTATTCATTATACAAATTAATTTCAAAATCATTCCATTCACATAAAATTTATTACCTTTTTCATTTTAATTACTATTATATAATTCTGGTATGATGTCTACAACTGTGTTCATCCATCCAATATTATTAACTGCATTTTTAGAATAATAATCTAAAAAACATGCCAACATAGTACGGTCTTCAGATAGGTACATAGGTAAACCATTCATTAGTATTTAACATATACGTTACATTTACAAAAAGCCAGAACAGTTTAAGTATACAAACCTGAAAGGGCAGTACGAATTGTACTCATTCCATCTGACCAAGAAAAGGATTGAGGTATATGAAGCGGTTCTCCAGAAGATAAAATGTCATTTATAAGTTTATATTCCCTTGCTTCAATAAGAACACTCATCAGATCATATCGTATATCTAACAACCGCCATTCATTTGGATACATTCTAATAAATCTCGATATTATTTTTCGTGTTTGTTCAACAATATTTCTATATTCTAATTTTCGATCCTCAAAAAACAATTCAAACTTTTTATAACTAAATAAATATTTAAGTGAATAACAAGCATATTTTACTACAATCATAATATCATTTCTGTTTTCCATTTTGATTTGAAAAGTATTTTTAATTTGATCTTGAGAATTATTATCTTCAATTTGAAAGTTAAGCTTGAAGTTTCCGTTGCAATAACTGATGTCTATTACTTTTATAAATTTGTATTCAAAAAAAACTATCTCCTTTATACTTCGTCCATCAGCTAAAGACTCATCAGATAAAGGCGCATGAATGAATTCAAGAGATCTTTTTTCTGGTCCTTGATCGTGCCAAACTTGAATTGTATGATTTTCAATTAAAAGAAGTTTTTCTTTTTTCTCATCAAGATAGAACCATTGTCGTGAATATCTATTATCATTTTGTATTAACCAGGGTTCAAGTATTTGATGATATTCCTCTAATTCTGAAAAATAGTCATTCGATAATGTTTTCCAATTTTGTTCATCACCTTTCTTTAAATATTTCAAATATTTATCTATGATCATTTCATCATAAATAACTAGTTCGTCACCCTTATCAACGACAATGAATGAATTTGAGTGTTCTGTTTTTTTTTCAAAACTTAATGGAAGTTCTAATATAAATCCTAAATTCTCTGATTTAACAGAATCTCGTAATGAGCCAAAAATATCCCAAACAAACCATTTACTTGATGAAACTACAAGAAGCATTTCGTCATTGCGAAAAAAAGCGACAAAATCAAATTGTAGATCTGGAATATCTATTTCAATCTCTGCTATTTCAAGACCGCATTCTATCGAATATATTTTGACTGCTTTATTGAGTAAAGAAATGTATGCTAATAATTTGCCATTATTTGATATTGTATAAGTCACATCAAAATCGAGTGGTCCGGGTAAATTCTGTCTCTGAAAAGTATTTACTAACTGATTTGTATTTAAATCGTATATTTCTATATATTTGATATCTTCACCCATAGTGTCAATCAAAAAATAATGTTGATTTACGCAACTAGTTTCAAAACAAATCCAATCGTATGCATCTTCCGCTGTAAAATTAAGAAAATTTATACAAAAAGCCATATTATGAATCATAAGGTTGTATGATCGTCTCGGGTACCTTAAATTTTGTATGTTTTTAATAAAATTATTTTTTATTTGATACTTATGGATCCCTGAAAGTGTGATTATAATAAGAGTGTAACCATCAGAATTTTGATTGATTTTGTCTGTTCTTTGTTTATTTTTTTCGGCCTTTTTATTATTTATACAGGCTTTTTTAGAAAATAATTTGATCGTTCCACCATATTTAATCGGTAATTCCTTATCATTAATAGCACTAATTAAATAATTATCATTAATAATATTAATAATGAAAACAAATGTAAATCCATGGTTAGGGATTTCTGTCGGGTGGATTTTATTGAAATTTTCCTCATAATATCTTGTGTCCTTAATACTGATACAAGATATTGCTAATAATCTAAATTCCGATGAGATAGCTGATTTATCTGACACGGAAATGGACCACTTAAATATGTTTTCATACTCATCCTTAATCAAATTGAGCTGCCTATCAGTAAATTTGAATGTGGTATGTATGCTGGAAAGTTTCCTGTATGATGTTTCTTGGTCGTCTCCTAGATCACTCTCTGGTTTCAAGCCATCCTTTTGTTCCGAGTTGTTCTCTAATGTTGAGTCATCTACATTATTCGAATTGTTAATATTATACATTTGTAATTCGAATTCTAAATCAGCTGAAAATTTTAAAATTTTATTAATAATTAATAGTACTAATCATTTATAAACAATTATTATGAAATATGTTACCAAGATTTTTTACAACAAGTTCAACTAGAAAGTCGCCTTCTGGACTGATTGCAAAATACTTTTTAGGCCCATTTTCTTCACCTTCAGAATTATTTTTATCTTCTTTGTCTCCAGGCTCAACAACTTCGACAACGAAGTCTTCATTTTGACTAGTAGATACTGACATACTATAATCTATTTCTTACAGACTCTAACGGCTAATATTACGTATTCTTTAATGCGTTGAATATGAATTAGGCAACATATAAAAGATCTTACGTGGCTTAAAATGCTTGAAAAAATTTTATTGATATGGCTTAAAAAATCGATATTTTATTTTGGTTTATTTATTATGATAATAGTGGCTGCGAAATCAAGCTTGTGGCATATTTATTATCCAAATAACTGTCGATTAAGATTTTGGCCAGTCAGTATACTGTGGTTGGAAGATACAGTTCAAGAAGCATGCTATATAAGCCAGGCTTGCGGTCAATGCTTATGGATACTTATAATTGTTATACGAAGCTATTTTTATTGGATGAATGATGGAACCTAACTTATCTAAAGTCTTGAAAAATCTTCAAAGTTCGGAATTCTTATAAACCTTAATAAAAGACGAAAATAGAAATGAAATAAAATAATGACGAATATCGTGTATAAAAGCAATGCTTTTTTGTTTACTGTATATTATAAGCTTCGATACCTGGATTTTATTAGAAGTGGCCAACGACATATGTTTATGACAAATAAAATGCAAATAAAATAAATCAAAAAAATCGTCCATAAATTTATTGGCTGAAAATTTTTGACTTTATGGTTGGGCCGGCCTTCTGACTTCTTTGCATTTTCGGGAAATGATCTTTAATCAAGAGGATGAAAAACATTAACAGTGCACTTTGCAAGAACTCTGTGTTGAATTTTTTTAATCTTAGTTCGAATGACCTTGGATCCATCAGGAATTTTTTTTCAAGCCATCGGAAGGAAAACACTTTATAAGAACTCCACCTTGACTTCTTTGGTTCTTGGTAGTAATTATCCTGGACTAAAGGTAAGAAAAGCATTAGCAAATGCACTTTGTAAGAATTCTACACTGACTTCCTTGAATATTAGTAATATTAATCTTGAAACAAAGGGAGGAAAAGCATTAGCATATGCACTTTGAAGAACCCACACTGACTTCTTTGAGACTTAAAGCAAATAAACTTTGTGCAGAAGAAGAAAAACATTAGCAAATGCACTTTGCAAGAACTCCACACTGACTTTTTTGAATCTGAAATGTATTAATCTTGGATCAGTAGAAGAAAAAGTATTTGCACAACTATTATTCTTGGACCAGAAACTGAAAAAGCGTAAATGCATGTTAAGATAGTGTAATAAAAGCTGTATTTTAAAATATAAAGGAAGGTAGGGTATTATAGCGCGGGTGGGTATTATGACGTACTTGTGTTTTTTAGTGATACGTATACTGCGAAACACGAAAAACTTTTTTACTATTCGATTCGTCTTTCTGAGACGAATCAAATAATACGTATAATTATTTTTGATTTTAATTGTTAAAACTCGAGATATAAGTAAAAAGTCGTTTTTACTTCGCCAGTGTTAAGTTTCTTTTAATTTTTATTATTTAGGTAATGTCCGGAGGAACCCTAGAACAATTACATATGTGCTGTATGAAAACTTACCACGGAGTATTATTACTCGGTCTCAGTTTGCATTTTTGACATATTCAGCAAATTTAATGTAGGCCAAATTTACTAAACTTGGAAGGTGAAATTTTATGAGTTCGGTAAGTTGAGTGTGGAAGATGTAATTAGATGGAACTCACAGACAAGTGGGAAGTAATCAAATATTTACCAATAGAAATAGCAGTACAAAAAATATTTATTTGGTTTACTATATGAATTTTATATATTTTTTTACTAACTTCATTTTAAATACAGTCCGACCCCCCTAAATGCACCCTCTCTAAATGCAGCACCCCTCTAAATGCATGATATATGCCCAGGCCCACAGTGGGACTTATAGATAAATTCACGTTCTTTATTCTGTAAGTGCACGCTAATTGACTGGCCTGCTTATAAAAACTCCCTCCATAAGTGCATTCACGTGATTATTAGCCAATCAAATCCATTATTTCTAGGCTGCTAAAGCCATATTTATCGCATGATAATAGCGCGTTGTGATTTTAATAGTGTTCTCTAATTGCAACCCTCCCTAAATGCACACTCTAGAGCTGGTCCCAACGACGTGCATTTAGGGAGGTCTGGCTGTATACAATTTAAATAAGTTTTAACTACTCTAGTATGGTTAGACCAACTTTTAAAGATATTCTTATAGCTTAATAAAAATTAAAAAAAATCTTTATCTTTAATCTAAAAAAACTTTATCTTTAATATAAAAAAGTACTTTATCTTAATATAAAAAAAAACTTTATAATAGCTATGCAGTTATAATTGAAGTTAATAATAATTATATTAATAAAAATGCATAGGTGAAGTTTACAGGTATTAATAAGTATTAATGATTTTGATTTATGAAATTGCTAATTTTACTCATTAGTAATATTAATGTGAATGAAGATGATTTGTTTGTAATGAAAAATGGTATTAATTTTTGCAGTAATAATAATCTTTATACTCGCCTAAATTGATGCGAATGAAATATTTAATGTATACTGTTGAAGTTCTCAAAATCGATATTCATGGTTTGACATATTAACAGATTCTGAAAACATTATAAACTATTGCAGTATTGGATTTATATAGTAAACAGGCCTGGTAGGCTAGGCTAATTTTTATCAGATTCGACAAGTTATCGATTTTGACAGGATCGACTTCGTGAGGTTTAACAGTAATCATAAATAAATAGTTATGATCTTGATTTGTAAATTTATTTAATTTAACAGGTTAATAAAATATTTTAACACCCACTAAGAATTAATACGGATAAATGATTAATAATTGTCGCGGTTGATGCTGAAATTGGCTGATGCTGAAATTTAGGGTCCCAATTTAAATCTATAATACCTACTAAAATTCATATATACTTTTTTACTAACAAGTTTACTCTTAAACTCTAACCTAACACTAAAAAAAAAACCCTAATGAAAATGCCCAAAAATTTTTTAAAATTTTATAATAAAATAATTCACATCAGCCAATTTCAGCCTCAGCTGTAACAATAATTGTAGTAATATATACTTAATCAGTGATATTTATATATATTATAATTTTTATAACTTTAGGTGCTGAACTTTTATTTTAATAATAAGAAAAATTACTAAAATTATTAACCAATAATAATTTAATATTGCTAATAATCTCTATATAATTATATTGGAGTAAAATCATAATAAAATTAAGCTTAAAGTCTGATAAATTTTGAAATAGAGAATGATTATGCATTGCACATTATCAAGTTAATAACTCGACTAATTAATTATAATTATTAATTATTATTGTTACTAATTCAAGAGGCCCTATTATTAGTCATGAGTATAAATAATAAGTAAACTTATATTTTAATTTATTATATTCTATACTAAAAATTTTTTAAAGCTCCTATTGTTTATTTTAATAATTTTTGAATAATTTACTAAAGCATTATATTATATTATTTTGATAAATTAGTGAGTATAATAATAGATAGTTTTATTAACCAATGTATATTTTAAAAATATGATATTTAAATTTGTATATATATATTTTATTTATATTATACCTTAATTTTGTATTAATTTAGTTCAAATAAGTATATTAGATACTATTTTAAGTAACTTCAAGAGAAAATAAAACTTCAATTATATAAATTCAGAATAATTAAAATTATATTTCTCTAGTATTGTAAAATAATATAAAAAAATTTTCATCAATTGTATAATGATTTTGTGATGTATCAATGGTTTACCCTGGTTGTCTTAATACCTTAATACTATTATATTAGAATACCATATTGCAGTTCTATCTAAATACTATATTGCTATTGCAGTAATATGTTAAAATACTGTAATGCTGCAATTAAGAATAACATAGAATAATATTCCACTAATGTTTATTGTCTAAAGTAATTTTTAGAATTAATATAAGCACAGCAAATTTACTGGTTTTGTGATTTGGTAATCATTGATCATCAAAGTTCATAGTGAAAATTTTTTTACTATTTGGTCAAGGTTATTTCTTATAGCTGGAAGTTTGTTTTTAAATTATCCTAAAATAAAAAGACTTGTTTTTTGATGTTTTAAAATTTCCAAATTGTTTTATATTTTTACTAATATAAAAGCAATTAACAATTGATATAAATTCTTAAGCAGCAAATCTACAACGTAGTTATTATATTTATGATCAAATTGGTAACAGTAAAGTGAGTTATGTTATATTTCTATTATGAGTAATGAATAATTACAATTTGTCATTAATTTAAGAAATTGGTGTTAAAAAGAATAAACACAAAGTGTTCAAATATTATTAAAAATCTAATAATAATTTAATTTTAAATCATAACACTAACTCTAACTTAGGCTAAGTGTTTAATTATATAAAGTTGTATATAATAAACATAAAGGTTTGTTAATTACCTTTTAAACTATATAAATATGTATTGCCAATTACACTGTTTAATTTGGCATTCGTAATTTCAAATTTGATCTTTATCTTCTAAAAATATGTTAAGTTTTAAAGACTCTAACAAAGATTTGCAAACACTAGCTTTCTTAAAAGATATAGTAATAAACTAGTGATACTTTTTTTGAAAAGCTTACTTGATTTATCTTTTCTATGAATATTAAAAATAGTTAAACCAACATAAAGCTCTCACTTTGCTTTACAACATATTTTTTGAGTTCCCTTGAATCTCATAGTTTTGTCTTTTTGTAAATTTCGCAATTTGATTGATTAACTAATCTCGTAGTAATATTTTGACTAGTCGATACAATGAGTGATATGTAAAAGGGGAGTGGTATTTATCATCTAATTTTTTGCTACTAAGTGGTTACCCACTACTCCACCTGATCATAAATGCTGCATTTTGATTGGCTAAAAAAATTAATTTTTTTTAAAATTTTGACCTTTAATACTAGATAAATTTTGATTTAGCAGTCTGTTTTGGATGATTTTACTACCAAAATGTCCGTCTCAATGAGCTGATTCTAACAAGCCCAAAATTATCAAAATTCAATAACAGAATCCCAAA